GTCAGACAGTATTATAAGTTAGATTTTATACTTTTTTACTGAATATTAAATTATAATAGTGACCTTCTTTGTCCACCCTACAGTAAATAATTGCTCTGGTTTAGCATCTTTAGCCACAGGGGAACATGTAACATCACTCCTTACAATTCTGTGTCCTTTCAGTAGTGCATATTTTTCCAACAATTTAAATAAAATATTGTAGTAGCATATCTGTTTTACTTTTTCTTTTAAGAATAGTTAATATCACTGTTAGACGTCATATTCTCCATGCAGTTAGCAGCAGGAGACTTTCCTGAATGCAAAACAACTCTTAACATTATTCAACGTCTGGACTGGCTTTAACAGAAATGGTACCTACAGTTCTTTCCAGCTTGCATTTGCTCAACCACTCACAGCAAGACAGCAAGAATTTTCCTTGTTGTTAACACAGAAAGTATGAATGGTCCACAAAACGAGATCACCTCTACCACCCAGTGAATGACTAAGAATGAGGCTGGTTGCCCCTCTCTGGGCAAATTCAAAAATGATTTAACATTTTAAGTATGTGAAATGTTAAGGGTGCGATAAAGCACTAGTAAAGTCTGCAGAAATTTCAACAAAAAGTGATGTTTTGTTTTGTTACCTTTCAGATTCGAGTCCTTTATCATACCTGTGCTGTGGAGGCTCATGTCAGAAACTGGAAATTTAGCTAGCTAAAAAACATAAGAAAAAGAGAGAAGGCTACGGAATCTCTTCGCAGACATCAAAAGAAGGAAAAAATGAGCAGAATGGGAAAACAAGGGCTGAAGAACACTTTTAACGTTTTTGAACAAATTTGACGATTTTTCCTTATGACCAGTACATTTCTATTTACATGTACCAAATGACTATCACACTATTCAAGAGAGGCTGAAATCAAAGAAAGGTTTCTCCCTAAATACAAGAAGGCATCAGAAGACTTCAACAGGCTATTCTCTTTTGGAAAATAACAATTTAACAACTTTAATGTCAATTCCATACAGTATTAAAGCTACAATGGAACTCTTCACTCAAGATTGAAAATCTTAAATGATCTGTCAATACCATCAAAATTTGCCACATACTCAGGTTAACCTCCAAGGAACTAGAGTGAAGTATTTCAGGCAGGGAGCTGTCATTGCGAGATCTACCAATCTGATAGAATCATCTGTCAACATAAAAAACCAGCTACTTAATGCCTAATATCCAGTCCTTTTGAGGCATGGACCCTGTCTTTTCATCTGTTCACAAAGCTTCTTCGGTTACCGCGTATATATAAATGAAACAAAACTACATAAAAATCATCTGTGCTGACACATCCTCAAAGACTCTTTAAATTACAACCACTAAAGATCATCAGGCACATCCAGCTTATGCTTTGAGTGATTGTTTCCGATTGCCTTACAAACTAGTGTTTCATATTCAAGCACTAATACATAAACCAAAAGGATTTGAGGTTTTTGTAGAAATAAGCTATCTTCCTTCCCCTCGGGAAAATTTTATTTTCCTATGGAAGAAAAAGCCATGCTTGGCTGCAAACATTAAATTTCATAAATATGTATTTTAATAGTCAATAACAAGCAAAAAAAGCCCATAAGACAAAAATCCAAAACTGCACGATACTAGGAATGCTATGGACCATATGAAAATACCGAAGCCTTTCTGCTAGTTATTTAGTTTATTGGAGCACTGAAATTCTTTGAAGCAAAGGATAAACTGTGCACAAGCACAATCCATTTCAGTAAGATCAGTTTAAATAAATTTTTTTGAAATATCTTCTGTAGAGAAGATTTCATTCAATTTCTGTTCATTCTGCTGCAGCTTCCTCTACAATTTCTGCACACTCATCAGTTTCTTCTCCAATTTTTAATCAGTGAGCTGTGCAGCATACCATGAAAAGGATCTTCCCGCTTTCAGCCTGTGAACTGGCACACCAAGACAAGTAACCGAAATACTCCTTCAGCACTAGGTCAGTCAGCCAAAAATGAGGAACGTTTCTCTTTTTCACTAAGCCCTACTGAGCCGGTTTCTGGTAGAGCCTTTGAAGAGATCAAGGCAGGAACAAGCAATTCCCCTTGTCTATTCTAGACAATCTAACAAAGGAAAGATTCAGCGCATCTAGGTGTAGGCACTAGTGTTTACTCCCTAGTCAGAGGAGGCACCTCCGCACTGTGGGTCACAGCACTGAGGCTAGATGCTTAATGTTAGGTGATGTGATATCTATGTGTAGTTAAGGAATTTTGTAGTCAGTGATCAAATGGGGAGCAGGGGAAACACTAGTATTTTTCCATAAGTATGTTCTTCTGAGCAGTCCATCTCAATTTCTTTTGCCTGTAATTCTCCACTGACTGAAAATAATGCTGCCTGCCATACAGGTGAGCAAACAGTATTCTGAACCAAGGCACAAGGACAGAGCTATTTGGAAATCACAGGCCTCCTCTCCTGGGCTAATGAAGACCCTACTCCTTGTTGATCTGCACTGGTTTAAAAGTGAGGGTTTTATTTTAACCTGAGTGTCCTACATAACCAACACGCTTTGGACTTGTACTCTGACAACAATACTGCAGTAACGTAACTCAACTAAAAGCTTTGGCGCTTCAAAGAAACTTAAGGGCATGGGACCAAGGTAATGAGCAAAGCAGAGATCATGGACACTGGAGGCACAATGGATATTTAAAGGTGGAAAATGAGGAACTATTGAATGGAGGCACAATGGATATTCTAAAGGTGGAAAATGAGGAACTATTGAAATATCACTGCTGTTCAAATACAGGATGGATGGCTTTGGAGTGCACTCCAGTCCTGCTACCAAAAAAGCTGAAGGAGCTAGGAAAGAAAATTTTTATCTTCATCCTTCTGCACAGAAACTCTTCTTTCTGGATGTCTGGATTTTCAGTTCTGGACAAAGACAGCTTGCTGCCATAACATGCAAATTCAGGGGTTAGTAACAGCAAACTTGGCTTCACCATAAATAGATGCAAGTTCGCATGCCAAGAACCTACTGGGGTTTAAATTGTTATAATATAGGAAAAAAGAAAAGAATACTGGGCACAGCAGCAAGCAGGGAATATTGGCATTTAACTTGTTACTTGACTGAAAATATCAACTTACCTTTCCCTCATTGGTGTTTTAAACCAAATCAACTAATTACTAGCCAACATAAATTATGACCACACTTCTTCCTCACTTGTGGCAAACAGATTCCAATGCTTCAATAAAGTCACACTGAGAGTCATTAGACTCAGCTTTTGTAGCCAAGTGTTTTTGCAGAGCCACTGGAGGGAGCAGAAAAACAAAATCACGGCTATATAAAGTGCAACTCTCACTAACTATAGTAAAAAAATGATTGGCACTTCCATGACAAAGAGCTTCAGCCCTCTAAAAATATCTTGCTCATGAAGTAAAATAATCTTTTTTTAAAAAAAACAATAATAATATATTTTTTAATTAATAATACAAATATAAAAGTCATTCAAAAGCTGGACTTAGTTTACTAGATTTGTGTGTTCCTTGAAAGATTAGAATTGCAATAAACTAGTTAGTGAAGTTTTGGTACAGAAAGGACATAATTTTGAAGACTATTATTCAGAATGTGACCAAAAGCTTAAGGCATATTAAATTGAAAGCTTCGATTGCGGCAGAAAACTTCCCCTTGGTGTTTCATGCACATTGATTCACAGACACAAAAACACACACACACACACACACTCATTCATTAATTGCTCTGAGAACACACTTTAGCTCTTTTAACACACATTAAAGGAACCTAAACATAACAGAACAGAAAAGCTTTCCAACGAGAAAGCCTGGTCATTAGTCTGTTACATCAGATCGAAATTAATATTACATAGTCTTCCATTTTTGAGGCTGAATAGAATCCGTATCACATTTATCATCCTATGAACATGATAGCCCTAGAAAGATTGTTAGCATAAAACGTTAGCCCCTTGGGGAGGAACTCTGGAAGAGGATTTACACTTTAAAAGGAAAATGATCACATTAACACACATGCAAGCTTGGAAGAATACAAGCAGCCCTAAGTACTTGGGAAACTGAGCCATTTACAGTTATCAGACTTGAACTTCAGAAGAAAGAATTTACAACACATTAAAAGACAACAATAGCTTAGGAAATCAACTGCAACAAAATAAATGCTACTTGAAAGAGCACTTGCAAGAAATAAACGGATCACACCTCAAAAGGCCCCCATTCCTAACAAATGGTACTGAACGACACTGACTGACAGAGGTCTGAGCACCGACCAACTGCACTGCGCTTAAGCAAATTGCCTATTCTCCACCAATGGAAAAACAAGCACATAAAATTCTCAATATGAAAATAATCAGAAAGAAGTGTCAATTTGTCTTCTCTTTCCTTTCTGCTTATGTGCAAGTTTTAGAAGGTAAGTCATGTTAGATGACATTTCTCAGCAATAATTCCAACTAAATTAAACGATGCTGTTTTTAGTGCAGTTTCAAACTCACAAATAACCAATCTGAGGAGCAAAAAAAACCTGAAAGATAAACAAAACCAGAAAGCAACCTATCGTTTACCCAAGAACCAAGCAGCAATATGAAAGACGTCACATTCCTCTTTCTGTACTTTAGAGATAATAGGACATTCCGAAATTCCAAATATTAGGGGATGCTATTTGTTTGACGCTTAAATCCGAACTATGAGTGCACTTGACTTCTCTTGGAAGACAGAAGAATACATACACTAATTCATTTGCTTATCTTTTAAAGCCAAGATTCATCTGTCTCCTCACCTCACAAAATAAAAGACACGCTTTCTGTTCGCAGGCTCCAGCTCACTCACTCAATAGAGGGGCTGAAATCACAGCATGCAAGGACTGCATTCCATCTGAGGACTATTTGTTGCTGCTGCTACTAACAGGGTTGCCTGTGCTCACCAGGGAGAAGGGGGCATTTCAGACTGTGAAACTGATTGTGCTAGAAGTGTTTGCTAATAGAGATGTCAATGAAGTAAAGGAGTTTCAGTACCTGAGTTAACTAGCTGTTGCTCCATGACCCCACAGCCCAGGACCTCCAGCCATTCTCCTTGGAAGTTGATCTCCATTTCAAAGGAAGGGTGAGTAAACGGGAAGTAGCAGTCGACCCATCTGACTTGCAGTCCTGTAGCAGTGTTTAAAAAATAAATAAATATAAACGGTGCATGTTTAAGAGGCCATCCCTCTAACCGTCTGTAAAACTTGCCCTTCAGCTAATGACACAATTACAGCAATCCAGAGAAAATAAATAGCAAACAAACTAATTTACAACACTTGTGCAAGGCAATAAATCTTAAAACTTGTGGAAAAAAAATGACCATGTCTTTTCTAATATGAAAAACACTTTGTGCAATTCAAGCACCCTTTGAAACCAAATCAATCATTTGTCAAAGTAGCAACCATCTGGCACAGAATGAAAATGAGCCCAGATTACGGAAAGGTGGGTAATTTTGTTATTTTCTGCACCTTGAAATGACCAACTGCTCCTTACTGGAAAGGTAAAATCTTTAATTTTTAGTTAGCATTTTACTGCCCAATCAGGCAAATACATCTCTTTTTTTCTCACACACTTCCATCAGAACCTGTTTAAAATACAAAACTATTCCTTCCATGTATGTTTAGAGAGGAACATTACAATTAATTATTAATACACACAAATATAGAAATATACATAACATTATGAAGGTAGGCTGGACACAAACACACAGAGTACTCAAAGTGGACTGATACCCTGCTCTGGCACTTGAAGGAAGCCGAGAGGAACTTGCTGTGGATGAGAAGCACAAGGCAGCAGTGATGCTCCGCAATTCGCTCTGCTCCCGTCCTCTCAGCGCCTCTGAAGTACCACTGAGGAGGGCTAGGAAACACCTCGCACCGCAGAGCAGAGCAGCGGAGCCAGAAGAGGCCTACAGTGTTGCCAGATAGAGATGTTGTCAAGACCCTCATTATATTTGACAGATTTCAGTTCTTGTAATCATTTATGCAAGCTTTCTTCCCCTAAAGAGATTCTTCTAGTCATTAGGTGGCAAGAGAAAACTGTCTTGGAAATATGAACCTTAAAAACTCAAAAGAGAACTGAACCACTATTATAGGCTTTAATCCCAAGACCACTCTTCCCTTCAGTTAAGTCAAATTCTAATCACCTTTATGATCATTAACAATCAGGCAGTCTCGGTTTTAAAAATAACGGGCAGAGGAAAGATTGTTTGGGTGAGATGATAACTGTTCACACCTCTGCTGTGCTTTTTCTGGCCTTTTTTGGATTTGAAAAGAAACTTTAAATACAAAATGGTGTGATTTGTATTGAGAGTTTTTCAAATTACACAATGTTTTCTGTAGCCTCAAGCATTAGATTTTCTCTGACCGTTTCTGAAATATTAAACGAGGCTACAGAAACATACACAATAAATTCTAACAAATACATGCATACATAGCCAAAGCACAAAATATCTGGCAATTATGAAGTACTTTGTGGTTGCTATGAATTTTCAAATGGAGAGATAGATTTCAAAACATATACACTGGTACTTCTAGATTTTCTTTTCTTTCTTAAAAATAAACATCAGGTAACTATAAGAATGATAGACTAGTGTTTTCATAACTTTCATACACACGATTCAGAAAGTAGAAACATTAGCAGTTAGATCACTCATAACTATATTGTGACTTAAAGCAATCACTTATTTCTTGTTTAATGTGTGTAAAAATACAAAATATTACATAGATGAAACATGTATACAACAGTACGGTATGTGGAAAACATATTTTTTAACTTCCTGATCTGTGTACAAATGCAGTTTAATCCTAGGCCTGAGGTACAACTTTGCACACTCTGTAAAGCTAAGTACAAATGAGATATCTTCATTAAGTTTGCAAAATTGGCAACTGTAGCAAGAATGACATTGAGCATTCAAGTAGTGTCATTCTCAATAACAACATTCTGATGATGCTTTCTTTTTAATCCTCTGCTTTTTTCAAAATGAAGTTCTGGGGAAAATATAAAGGATTTCTCTGCTTTTTCATTCCTAATTAAAAGATTTTTTGGTTTTTTTACATTTAAAGATCATTTTTATTTGAATCTTAATGCACGTAAGTACTTTTCTTAAGGGACACTTGTTTACTTACTTGCATTTAAAACAAACACAAATGCAGACAAAATGAAACAAAACAAATCCACCAAGAAGAAACAAATCTGACCTTCACCTGTTCCTTAATTTAATAAATATGCCCATATGACACAATGACTTCATTCATACAGGATCCAGGACAATTGGGAAATAGCTCTGTATTTTATATTCAAGTGTTCTTTAAGACTTTTGGCTCTGGAAGACTTTATCGAGAAAAGCAGAGGGTGCTCAACTTCCTACAAGATTAAGCACTTCTATTGACTGTCACAGAATAAATGGGTACATTTATTATTTAGAAACAAAATATTGTCTTGGTGCTCAACATATTCCCAAAGAATAAAGGGTATTGCTCATACTCAGCAAATTAAAACACAAAAGACTTAAAGGACTATGAGGATTAGGCTTTCTGTAGCGCTGCCTAATTTACTTGATAAGGCTTAATTTATTTCTTCTCAGACTACAGACTACGTAAACTTGGCAAAAAGGATTTTTTTCTAGAAATTTTAGAAAGCCAAGAGATGCAAATCCAACTTAAAACAGAGACACTTAACAGAATACAGAATCTAACCAAATGTCTGATCATCAGCTATATTCTCAGTAATTTCATTATTTCAAGGGGATTATTTATATTAGCGAGAGATATGACCTCAGTTCACTGCATCGCGATGTCCATGGGAGTCCTTCTGTGAGTAAATGTTCAGCAGTAACTGTCTAAGCGCTGCATCTCTGATAAGTAAAGAAAACATGGCTAGTTATTGTTATCCTGGAGTAATGAATCCAGGTAAGGAATTGGATGTAGCTTGCACTCTAAAGTAAGGGTGTTACCAGATATTGAACTAAACTAGTAGCTGTCAGTGTTAGTTTAGTTGAGTCTCATAATGCAAAAGGCTTGACGAAAGGCACAAAAAAACCATACAAAAACAAAAAAACTCTCACTGCTAAAAGCAGCCCATTGCTATGCTACCGCAGGGAAGCGACAAAGCCAGAGACCCAGATGGTCTTCACTGACCAGAAATTCTCTTTGTTTCTGTACGGATTATTTTTACAGAAGGATTCTACGGGATAAAAAGGGAAAATTTGCAAAACTGAAGCTACTGAGAACAGAAGGTATTAAAACCTGTCCACTTGAGAAGTCCGTTAGTTCCTAAGTGTTCTGCACTTCAACTAATTCGTCTCACTACAACAGACTGGAGTCAGCTGACCATAAGCCTACTTGAGCTCATGTGTTTCAGAAGTTATTAGCCAGACCTTTATAGCATCAATAAATGATCACTCCTTTTTTTTTTTTTAATTACAAAAAAAAAATCCTTACACTCATAGATCTCAGAGCACTCTGCCGAGGAGATGTCATTACAGCAGAGTTAAAAGACAAAAGAACAGAACAATGTGTTTGATTTTAAATACATTCAATAGCTACTCAGTGAGAACTAACGACGGCAGAACTATTAGTTAAAGCATGGCTTTATTCCTCCAGCCATCTCTCAAAGGTGTCTAGGAATTTGGTAGATAATTAAAAAATGTGAATCTCTTGAAGAGATTTAATGAAAATAATAAAACATAATTCAAAGAAATTCAGGGGCAGGTCTTCAACCAACACACAAAAAATCAGTATGACTAACTGTGAACTCGAAACCCTTTGACTCTTTGCTTGACTTCATTACAAGTTTATCTGCTTGTCAAAATAACCACTGTTCAGTTCATTCATTTCTCCTAGTGGGATGATGAGAGATCTCATCATAAAGGCTGTCCTCTTCAGAGGAATAGAATGAACAGCTCAGCAACTGCATATCAACTACCTGGAAACATCCCCAATATGCCACCTAGCATATGCCACCTGGCCATTAATGAGGCCATAATCCACTGCCCGATGTGAGGCACTTCCATTGCCATGAGTGACACACCAATGACAGCAGCCCACACCTGAGACTGCAGTGGGCTGAAATACTCAAGACAGCCATTTCTATCTCCTAGTCAGCATTTTGTCAGCAGAACTTCCTGAGATGAGGAGGAAATCAGTGCATGCCTTTTCACATCTCACTTGCTAGGAGTCAAGTGTCCAATTCCTAAAGATCCAAGAGAGCAACACTTTCACAGCAAAAATTGTTCAGTATTTCACACAAGTCACGTTTTCTTCTTCCTATATATCCCAACATGCAAAATCTTAACTTTCTGCAATTGCAGAAACAGAAAGGCACATACATTTCTGGACTAGGTGGGAGGGAGGGAGGGTTGAGCGGATTTTAGCATCCCTTATTAGCAAAAAACATTCTTGTGTACAAACAGGACCTTTAGCAAAGAACTGTGAAGAAAATAGGTTTCTGTTACATCAGCGTCAGTGGAACAGTTGGACACCTTAAATAAGGTTTAAATCACTTTCAGGAACTGGTCACTTAAAGGACATACAAGCTGTGCAAAGCTATACCCAATTTTATATCTGCCAGTGGATCCCTCCACAAAGATCATCGGATCTTCACAGCATTTCTTCCTGCAGCAATTATTGATTCCATTAAAGTCAAAGTTTCTCATTTACTTTACATTCATTTCCTGAGCCTAGCCATGAATAACCCAAATATGACACATAATTCTCAGGGCACTGTTAAGCAAAGTAAACAATTTTTTAAAATCATAGACTATATAGACACAAGTGAGTTGGGCAAGGGCAAGTAAAGCAGTGTTTTGTGAGTTAGTATTTGGTCTGTCTTATTTAACAGCTTCCCTAATGAGATAGAAATGAGAGCAACAGCTTACTAGTTATATGTGTTCATTGTAATACATTTGGAATTTACGGCAAACACTAGAAATAATAGGAGACATACAAGGGTCAGAAGTGTCAGCAAAAAGCAAAATGAGAATTCGTTTGGAAAAGGGTTCTTGGAAACTGATACACCTGAGGAACAGAATAAGATAAAGTTATTACATAACAAGAAAGGAACCTGCACCTACTGCTTGCAGACAAGAAAGATTTGTTTAAAGACATGACTGTCAACAGCAGCCTTGG